TTCCATATACTTTTAGGACTTTTTCAAAGGAAATCGAGGGAGAGTATTGTGGAGTAACATTGGCGCATACTTCAGAAGGAATAATATTACTACAGATGATACATTACCAGTTATTCTATGATTTAAAGATTCTACACGAGGGGTATATACCTTGCAGTTGAACTCACTGAAAGTTCTGTATATTGCATAAACACATTTCTTCGGAATAAAGCTATTATTGTTATTGTAAAGTACAGAATAAAACCACATTGATCCTGATATAGTTACAATTAGTAATTTGTGCTTTTAAAATCATACAATATTTTTGAATCCTTGACGTTCCCAGTGGAACATAGTGTGATTTCAAGCACCACATTCTATACATATATTTATCCAAACGACTATAACGTCCTTTTGAGATCCATTTGTAGCCCTAATCTTGTTTTAAAATCTTCCCCAAAATTCTCATAAAGAATTTTTGTGTGTGTCCCTGTAATAGGATCCACAAAATCACTAGGATGTTTCACTCTGTGATGAATATATCCATGGGATGACAGGGAGTTATAACCCTTCCACTCATCGGTATGTATTATAGATCCCTATTTAACCAGTCGAGTGATAATAGATACTGAGGTGTCTTGTTTTCTCCCTGCTATTCTCTCAAAGAATCTATTCTGTGGCGAAGTGTCATATAAGCCGATCACCCAAACATTGTTTGCACGCTCACGACCACGGCTGTATTTCTTCTCCAATAAGACACCTTCTCCTCCTAATAACAAAAGAATGCTCTCCAATCTCCATGAGACGATGTCTCTTCAGTGCTGGTACCGATGAACTGTTGACATAAGGCTATTTTCAGTTTCATATTAGTTTGTTTATTAGATGTTTCACACAGTGAGTGAAACAGTATTATTTACTGGATGACGTTTCGAACAAAATTTAATATTCATAAGCATATCAGTTGTAATCACACGACTTTGAAACTAGAATTTTATAGTTTTCTTTGTTTTCTCCTATTTTTTGTTGGGGTAGTAGAATTTTCCAGATATTTGGGAAAGGTGATGAATCATTCCTTTTACATGTATTTGCAGTTGATTCGATGAACAAAGCTTCTGTTATAAATCTCTCCCTCCACCCTGTGAAATTAGACTTTAAAACTATCATCTTATCCCGTCCTATTGTATGACTGCGTTGTGTAATTGCATGTAGTGCTATAGCTGAACTATTCTCTAGATTTCTTATTTTATTCGGGTCAACCAATCTAGATTTTGCTAGGTTTTTATGCTCAGCTAGTCTGACTGCCCTTGTTCTACTAGTTTGACCTATGTATTTGACCTAACAATCATTGCAGGGTATTAGGTAAACTAAATTGTTTTGTTTTAAAGGCTCTATAGGATCCTTTGACCGACAAAGCTTGTTTCTAATTGAGTTTGTAGGTTTGAATACCATTTTTATTCCTGCCTAATTAAGAATTCTGCGTAAGGCTTCCGAGGTTCCTTCCTTGTATGGAATTACTACTGATGATTTACATTCCTTATTGTTGGTGTCGTCATTAATATTATTATTATTGTTATCATTATTATTGTTATTATCACTATCGCTACTATCATTATTTATTTTATTTTTACATTTCCTTACATATTTTCTGACTAATTTATCCGGGTAATTATTAAGTTTCAAGGCTTCTTTTATGTGTATCAGTTCCCGTCTTAGATTTTCCTTGGTATTTTCAGTTTCAGCAGCTGCGCCTCTCACAGGCTGTATTAAAAACTAGTAGTTACAAATATATAAAATCTGGGTTAGGGAAAGATGCAAACTAGCGAAAAATGTTTCTACAAAGCATTAAAATTATCAGTTTACCTTTCCTTTCACTCACTTGTCTTAAACAAATTGTACAGCAATGAACATTTCCATTTATCGACCTGCTGAAACTTTCTGTACTCATTACACCTCTAAATGAACAAATCCTCTCCTTTCTAAGCAACTCCATATCCAAGCAATACTCAAAATCCTGATCGTCACCAAACTGCAAGCGTTACTGCGTTAGTGCGGTCATTTTATTCCAATCAAGTGGGATACAACCTTCAACTCACGTGCACGAAACTCATTGGGCTATTCAAGGTCATTCGCTGAGTGGTAGTAAGTGGTGCTTAAAGTGGTGCTTCGCCAGCTTATCTTGTACACTGACTAACAATAACAACTATGACCGTGACAACTCATCACTTTTGTTACTACCGCTTTCTTTGAAAAAGTTTGCGTATAAATGTGACTACAGCCAAATGAGAATGAATTCATCGGAAAGAGTGTCTTCGCTATACTAGGTGTTTTGTTTCCATCAGTAATGTGTATATGAAGATTATTCATGAATCTGTATCTTAAGTAATTCTGCCCAGTCATCATTGTTCTACGGATTCCTTGACGACGTAATAACTTGCTGTTGATCTAAAACTTTTAATTCTTATTGGCTAAAATCAGCCACATGATTGGTATAATGTCGGTGTATAAAGAAACCATATAGTAGTGCAGAGCCGATGCTGAGGAACTAATTGAAAAGGAATGGATATTTCTTCGCTCAATCTGCTGTTTTTCTCTCTAAATTCTGTGAATTGTGCGAACATTTTGTTCGGAATGAAATTGTTATTATTGTTAGTAAGATAATACATGATATAAAATGTGCTACGTTTATCCTGCAAAACCAATTTGCTCCTGCTTTATTCAAACTAACCTTTTTAATTGGCTGTATAAAACACTGAGATTATTTCAAAGAGCTTTAGAATTTAGAAAATACACTGTCTGATTTTGAAGTAATGCGTGTAAAATTAACTCAACTACATCACTGCTAAATAGGATGAGACTACGCTGATTCATCGACTTCGAAAAGGCCTTCGACAGACAAGGATGACAGAGAAGTAATTTAGAAACTGCTTCAACACTATGGTGTGTAGCACTCGAGCCTTTATCACCTCATTCAGCAGCTATTTGACAATGACATGTGTCATGTTGTTTAAAGGGGAATACAGGAGTAAGACAAGGCTACCTATAATCACCATTGATGTCACTAATTGTGTTAGACTGCATTATGCATTAGACTGTGAGTTGGGAGTGAGAAGGCAGTAATATACTGGATCACCGATAAAAGGGCTCTAGAAGATGTGGATTTCGCAGATGGTATGTGTCTAATGTCACACAAACGCGAAGACTTACAGGTGAAAACCACTTAACTGGCTTTTCATGAAAGGCATTTCCAACATGTTGCGAACTTGTATCAACAGCTGCTCACTTTGATGACTCCGTAATGAAGATCGAATAGCCAGCTGGCCAGAAAGAATTGCCGACAAGAAACTCTGGCGGGCGAGAAACATACCAATAGCCGATGGCTGAACAGATATATGCGAGAAAGTGGAAATTGATCTGGCATACGTTGAGGAGGCCATCGAATGACATCGCGCGTAATGCAGTCAGCGGTCAAGTGGAATCCGGATGGGAAGCGACAAGTGGGACGCCTGTGTGAGTGTGATATGGATGAGATAGTGTGAAGAGGAGTAGATGAGACATTATAAGCGATCAAGGACCTAGATGACAAAGAGTAAGTAGTAGGAACCAACAGTGACATTAGTCAAGAATGATGTAAGTTGCTAAATAATTAGGAGTGGAATTCATTGACCGGTTATAAGAAAATTAGACGACTATGCTACGAAACGAAAAAACAGAGTTCAACAGATTTTGTGTGGGTAGAAACAAAGTTTAACTAGAAAAAGTACAACAGATGGTAGGTTCCGTAACCACAGAAAGTGTGTTTTTATAAAATAAGCAAAAAAAGAGAGGAGCAGGACCAGTATTGTTTAGACGAAAAATAAAGTCTTCTAAACAGGACAGAAGATGACGTGGTAAAATTTGTATACTTTGTTATCACCTAGGCAGTACAAGATTCACCACTGTCTCTTTTTGTGTACATGGATTCGGCTTTAATCGTTTGGTAGCGATTGGCCAAGCTAAACGTAACAAGCTAGGTTTCTTCTGCCTGTTGATTATTTTGAACGCCTTTAGACTGTCCGCAACAAGGCAATTGTTCAATAGATGGCGCACAATCGCACTTTTTAATGCCTGTAATCTCTTCAGTTTCGGATTCTCTGCTATATTTTTCAGGAATGCAGACAATAATCCTTCTTCTTCCTCCAATGTATGCGCTTTTGCACATACATGTAAAGTGGTAGACACATGAGGCTGGCGTTTGTCCATTTCTGACTGTCTTAAAAACTCTGTTGTTTGATAAACATACGCAAGCTTGGCGATTATATATGTTCGTTTCAGGGTAGCGTTAAGTCTGCATCTTATCTTAACAGTGGTGATATCACCTTTGAAGGCAAGTTGTAGAAAATGGACCTTTTCCAAACTGTTTTGTAATTCATCTTGTTGACACTACGTTTCCCATGTTTGTCGATTACTTTGAACGTGTTTATACTTGATATTTTCAGTTAAAATATCAGAACTCTATTAATCAGCATCATTTTAGCCTATAAGCTCGTTGAACAGATACCTCGCTTTAACCACAATTAATGCACTGATATTTAAAGCGATAGGGGTTGGGTAAAAATCTCAGTGTTGAAACACCAAGAGTCCATGGTGATCACTCTCACTCAACTGACGACTTCCGAATACGACGTAACATACTCTCTAGATCCAACTGTTATCCACCACTGAATTATTGAACATATAAACCTTTAAAGCAATAATGATCGTAACTTTGCGTTAGTTGTTTTATAGTAGAATGCCCACCAATCAGTCAGGTTCGAACCCCGGACGTCACACTTCTAAAACTCGCTAAGTTAACTAACCGAAAGGAAGCAAGGAAAGGATAGACGGCTGTATGTAGGGATGGAGACTTCACCCAGTGAAAATCATATCACAACACCTCAACTGAAGCTTCATAGCATAAGGCTGTATTTCTCACTCAGTAAATTAGGAACGTACTCATGTGTTTGCAGTAATATCAAAAGCAGACTCTCGATTTACTTGTAATGTATATATTTATAATACTTCACAATACAAATTGTCAAAAATAAATTTAATCATCCCACAAAATTCTACAACATCAAACTATATTCAAATTCCAATTCTCTTGATGCTTTTCATTACAATAAATACACTTTGTATCTTTACTTTCAACAATATGTCCACTTGTTGTTGTCTCTATAGTCGTTTTCATTAAGTCTTGATCGCTGATAACATCACATGTACGTACAATATGCAGGAAGACTGGAGGATCAGACGGGTCAGATTGACGTCGATGATGATGATGACGATATTCTGATGAATGTGGATATAGAGTTAACAATTGATCTGAACATTTTGAATAATCACTCTTATCTATACAATAATCTTGAGGTAAATGAATTTGTACAGGTTGTTGTTTTGTCTGTGTAATTAAAAGTTCATTTGTAGATGTGATAAAACTTGTACACAGATGATTATTTGCATCGTGTTGAACGGTTTCCATTTCTAAATCACATTGTTTATTGGTTTCTAGTTGATGTTTACGGTTTTGTTTCACTTCTATTTGATTGTGAACTGCAAAACAAGAGAAAATAAAAACAGAATGGTGACTTAAATCAATTCACATTCATCAAAAAATGTAAATCTTCTCTTACCTGACGTGAAAGACCTCACTGGCAATCGCTGCTCACTAAAACTCTGGGTAACTTCCTTTATAGCGGCAGACAGGTGTTGATTTTTAGGGTTACAGTTTTGATCGCAAGTTGACATCCGTTAGAGAACCATTGGAAGAACCTACAGGGAGTACTGGACACCTGCTTCACTCTAGTTTGAGCCTCTTTATCAGTAAACATCCACAAAAGTTCCACTTCCGCAATTTCCAGTTACTGAATGATCTCGGAGTCCATTCAGTCACTAGGACTTGTAAATTCTAACTCCTGACGAATCTTTTACGGCCAGTACTGTAACCAGGAGGTCCATGATTCGGGCTTCTATGGCTGCATACGACTGAAGTGTCCCAAAGTGGGGTGAAACGGCTGTTCAGTTCTCCTCGGTATTATATTGGTCCTCTAACTGCTATCGTTTCAACTACAGGTGGATGGAACTGACGAGGATATTAAAGCGAGGATCTGGAAGGCAAGGCAAGCTTTCATTACTCTCAAGTCTGTGTGGAGATCAACAGCACTCAGCATGAAAAATAAGATCCGGATTTCCAATTCGAATATGAAGTCAGTGCTACTTTGTGAATGAGAGACGTGGCGCCGCGTAACTGAGGGCAATTTTAACACACTACACACCTCCATCAAGAGCAGTCTTCGCTCAATCCCACTCAAGGTAAGATAGCCAGAAAACATCAGCAACAGGAAGCGATTTCCGAGAATGAACCAACCCAGCAGGATCCACTTGTGCAACAATTATGTAGGGAGAAATGGGGGCGGATTGGTCGTACTCTGAGAAAACCATCAAGTGAGTGATATAACACGCCAGGCCAGAGCTCGAGTGGAACCATAATGGGAAGCGGTGAGTTGGTCGTCAGTGCGTGGGTCATATTGCGGTGTTCATATGAAGAGGATATGAAAGCCTGTGGGCAGACAATGAGCCAGGTGAAAACGTTTACAGAGAACCAGAAGCAATGGAAACGTGCCCTACGTTCCTCTAGGAACTAAAGGAAACAATAATAATTGATATCAGCTCGTCATCGAACAGATAACCAATCAAATCCCTGCAAGGCTGCTCTTGATATCACAGGATGACACTTCTTACCTAAGCTTTGTTTTAAAAATTAAAGGAAACTTTAAACAGAACATGCAGTTAACTTATGAATTCCAGATAAATTGAGTAGTTTCTGTTTGTATTTCTTTCTTAAGTATACTTGTTTAATTAACATATCCATTAATGATTTAGTATTTAACACCGGACAATTTTGCATGGAGGATTTCATCATGAGCTGACATCAGTTAGAGAACCACTGGAAAACCTGGGAGTAATGGACAGCTGTTTCATCCTAGCTCGAGACTCTCCATCAGTACGCACACATTGACAGGGTTCGAACCCAGGACCTTCTGGTTACAAGGTAAGCTCGTAGACCATTGAGCCACTGGACCCGATCAAATGGTCCTTGAATTTTATCTTATGCCAGATCATGACATAGTGCGACCATTTCCCAATGCCTTCTTCAAAGAGTTACTGCCCCATTTCAACCTGCTGTACCCTACTGGTTCTCTAACTGATGTCAGCTCATGAAGAAATCCTCCATGCAATCAAACAAAAATCCCTACAAAACCAATACTTGAAAAAAAACTGGACAATGTTATCATAAAAATCACGTCAGTCGTTTCAAGACAGCTCTACCAGGCCATACGTTTATATCCCAAATCATTCTTGCTATATACGATATCTTAAAAATACATCTTAGGTTCTGAACCATTCCCAGATCATGTTTAAGAATCGAAATTAGAACGAAGTCAGTATTTCAGTGACCTCTCTTTGTCATTGATCCTCAAACTGATGAGATTCTCGACTATTCAAAATGAAATATGTCAACTTATTAGATCTAAACAGTCCAAAGACTTAACATCTCCAGGAAAATAAAATAAAAGCTCAAATTTTCGACATTGGAAACTGTTGGGAAACTCGCTAACTATATGACGTATTGGAGCATAAATGCAAGATAAATGTAAAGCTTTGATCACTTTTTTACGAACTGAGATAATATTTGACTGATGGTGAGACTATCATAAAAATGGGGTAGTTATTGAAGGCTGAAAATCTGGTTTGTGGTAGGTTTCGAACCAGGGACCTGAACTGTGTGTGTTCCAACTGCTAGTCACTGCATTATCCATTTATTTTCCCATCGAGATCTTGTTTTGTCAAACGTGATCAGAATAAATTAAAGTGAGTAGAGAAAGTCGTTAAGTGGCAGTAACACTTTCTGATAGAATCATAAGTTAGGAAGCTATCAAAACTCGTTACAATAAACCGTTTATTAATTCAACGTAATTTCAAAAACCTTAATTGATGAATACCGTTTAGAAATGATTATCATTAAAAATGTAAACTCTTGAAACCAAGAAGATTATTCCAAAAAGACTAACTAAGAGATTCAGAATATGTCATAAAGGACATTTTAAATCTAGGAGTTCTGAAACGGAGGCAAACGAATGGATATAGATTGCAACCCAAATTATTGCGTAATTTTACAAGGAAAGAGTGGATTTCAGGTCATAGCAATAAAAAGGGATCAAACAAAGAGTTTATTCACAGTGCGTCGGTGGAACAGTGGTTAGGATTCTCGCCGACCATGCACATGGTCCGAGGTTCGATCACCTACCGACGCACACCTGATATCTATGGTCGGCCTGCAAAATTTGGGCTACCGATATCACATGCTGAAAGTTCCATACCTGTACCAAAAAAATACGGTGTGGAATCAAGCTGTAACCAAAAAAAAGAAAATTCAAGGTTTTGTTTTGTGGATAGCAAGGCACATCTGCTATGGATGGAACACGTTACCGGAAAAAAACTTAAAACAACTTGGCTGCATCTTATATTTAACTTGGAAGGATTCCTTCACTGATGTGGAATGGTGTGTAAAAACAGTAGTGTACAAGAATCGAGTCATTGACAAAGGAATATCTTCCAGTTTGCTTGCCAAGGTGAAGGAATTATAACTATTCCTTCGGGTTCAGAGTGCAACATAGAGCATTCGTAAAATATCGAAAATCCACCCTGTTTTCTCCGGTCCATTTTAGCTATTCCCCGTAAGTTTTCATTTCCTTCTCGAAAAATTTACTCCATGTCACTCTCCGACTCCTATTTAAGTCCCTTTTGAAAGTCTGGAATTTGATGTCACTTGAAAGTCTTTTTATCGTATATCTCCATCTCTTTGAACATATCTGTTGGGCAATACGTTCTCAGTTGGTTTGTTACCAGAGCTTTTTGTCTCTAGTTCTTTTTGACCACTGATCAGGTATCCAGTATGAAACCGGGGATGGCGGTTGTTGGCAGAAGTCTGCAGATAGTTGTTGGAAATTCTTTCGGTAGCACTAGTGTTGAAATTCCGAATTTCGTTCTTTACGGCGGTTGCAAAATATGTTCACACTACCTTACCTTTCTGATCTTGATGTCTTCACCCTTACCCCTGGCTTCAGTTGAAACGCTACTTCCTAGATAAGTGAAGGAAGTAACCGCTATCAAATCTCTCCCGTGGATAGTGACTGGTGCTTGCTGTTATCGTTGTTGGTGAGTTATCTGAATCACCTTCGTTTTCCCTGTGACCACTTGAAGCCCTGCCTTTTCTGCTTCCTCCTCCAGATTATGGTACTTTGCCTACAGTTCTTTAGTTTCGTGCAACACGATACACAAATCATCTGACAAGTATGGACTTCCCAAAGTCGTTTCGATTCTCAACGTCTGCTGTCTAATCCAATTCAGCACAACTGGAATTATCATCAGTGAATGTAGGCATACTTCGCATCCATAAATTAGCCGTCAGATGATAAAGATTTCAGGCATTTCAAAGTATTGAGGCAGTTTCCTAATTACTTAGCAGTCAGCACTGTCGGAGACCCTTTCAAATGCGACTAAAATGAGGTAGAGATTGGACTCCCATTCTTTGCCCTATTCAATTGTGATGCACAGAATCGCGATATGATCTACAAATGATTTGCTTTTCTGGAATCCAACTCTTTCTGGGTAGAGGTTTGCGACCGGTTCATCTTTTGGTCTCTTCACGATGATGCGACGCAATATTTCACTTGGCGTGACCAGGAGATTGATGTTGCATGAGTTCTAGCAAAGGTTTAAGTTGGCATTCTTCGGAAATCCCTCTGGATAACTTTTCTCCATTCTGTAGGCATCTTTCTCTACTTCCAAACTGTCTGCGATTATTGTGTGGGTAAGAAGGAATAATTTATTCATTATTACTTTTTGACCACCTGGCTTCTGAGTGGAATATAAGGCATCAATAGCACATCTTCACTTTGCCCTATTTTCTGCGGTCTTAATGTCTGTCACTACGATTGACTATAGTCTCTCATCTCCTCCTTTCACTATATCATTCACTTCACACATGGGCCAAACCCTAACTCACCGGATCCTATTCAGATTTCACTCGAGCTGTGACCTGTACTGCGCGCGATGTCGTTGGACAGTCTCCTCAACGTGCGTCTGATTAACCTTTATTTTCTTCCACGTAATTATTGAGCAATTTATTCTTGACTGGTTCACTCCCAGATTCCCTCCTTGCCGATTCTTTCCTACTACCCATTTGATCCTCGATATGAAGCTAGCTAATGGAGCCGTTAATAATAGTCTGCAGCTGACTGACTTAACATTGGCACTGAAAATCCAAATTTCGCTCTTCCTTATGTTGAGTGAAGAATATTCCCAACCTGATTTTAGTGTGATTCGGATCTGCCTTGCCTCTCCGACTATGATTTGATATCCTCATCTGTTCTGTCACGTGTAGTAGAAACTATGCTGTCTATTGAGATAAGTACATGAAGTGACTACTTTCAAATTTTTCCTGCTGATAGTGATCAACACTTGTTGTTATTTTCTGTCAAGCACGTTCA